CCAGGGTTACTTTACCAAAAACTTTCAAATTCATAGTCACCGAAGACAAAAGACCAAAAAAAAACCCAACAGGTGCTGTGGCTAACAAACATTTGGTTATGCTCATACAAGGCTAGGCTATGTTTTCTTTCATTTCCAAATAGAGTTAAAAAGTAAAATGAAATTTGTGTAAATAATACGAACTTTCAGACTATGTTCCTGTACAAAATAACAGTCTGGATAAGGTTAAATGTTCTGCTATGAATAAGCAAGTTTTCCCCATTTGAATGTTGTCGTGTCAACTCAGAGTGTTTTCTTGCTGTTATTGTTTTGTTTTTCTGTATTTATGTGAAAATGGTGGTGTCTGAGCATTTTGGAACATTTAAGAAAGCACTACCAAAGAGAGTAACTAATTTAAAAGCAGCCTTTCCCACCCCTTATCCCCAAAACCTATGCATTCAGTTTCCATGTGGTGCAGAGACAGACATCTAAATGAAAATCTAGTCCCTCAGCTAGTTTTTTCATACTCAGTGAATGAATATGATCTACAAGCTCTTCCTCTGCTTTCTCAGAGTTTGTTGCTCACATTCAAGATCAGCTCTGATAACCTCAGAGCAGACGTCTGGGAGAAAAGTGAAGTTAATGACAGAATGTTGAGGAGGCTCAGCTCATCTCCTGATGCCTGGGCTGGGCTACTGGTTAGCCAGTGTTGGGAAGGCCTTGCCTGGCTGCCCTAACTTCTGGGTCAGCCTCAGATGACCGGTTCCCCAGATTTGCTCTGTTCAACAGCTCACTCAGAGACTGTGCTGGTATTGAGGGGATCCATAGGTCCCCACATCCTGCTCCTTCCTGACACCCTGCCTCCTGAAGCTGGAAAGGGATACAGATTCCTGGTGTGAAATCTTATCTGCTTAAGTCTTCTGGAGATAAATACACTTAAAAGGGCAGTTGTCTCTTCCAAGCCCTCCACAAAATCTTTTATACAGTATCTTTTTGGTTGTATCAATTGAGCAGGATATAGAAATTAAGTTTGGGTCTTCCCAGGTGATATGTGACCAAAAAAAGAAAACCACTACAACAACAAAAGCACTGGGTCATGCCTCACCTCCCCTTCAGAAGCTAAGTGTAAACAGTTGGCCATAAAGAATCAGGTCACAGGGCCATGGAGTGGAACGGTATTTCTTATACTATTAAATTGGTAGCATGGCCTCTTGAAAGGCTTTGGCACAGGCTAGCTAATATTCTTCTATAAAGCATAGGGATTAAAAGGGGTTCAGAGTAATTCCTAATAGGCAGCTTGGATGCAGCTACCCAGTTCTGGAGCTTAGAGTTCAGCTGAGGTATATAGTTATAATCTCCCTCAGGGCTGAGAAACAGCCTCTGGCCAATTTTACTTTCAAGTGCCCCGTGAATGCAAGAAGCACAAAGCAAGCAGAAGTCAGCAGAAGTGAAGAAAAAAGGCAAAGGGCAAATCTCTGGCCACAGTTATTGACATTAGTGAGTTTTCACTCTTTATATTTCAACATCATTGGATGAAAAATTATTGAAGCTGTCCAAAGCTCAAGGATCAAAATCCCCGGACACTGCCAAACTAGATACTGTAGAAACTGTACATACTTATGTAGTGTCATTGCTGCTATAGAGCTGGCATACCACGCTTTTACTCAAACCTGGACATTATGACCTTGCCTATATATGTATATGGGCAATTTGCATGTGAAGATGTTTGCAAAATAAGCAACTCTACCATCTACATCAGTTGCGGTCCAGATAACAGGTTTCTCAGAGGACTAGCATGGTTTGTTTCTGATAAGGTACCATAAGGTACACTGAGATTGTAAAGAAAATATAGGAAACAGACACAGAACGTGAATGTACAGTCAAACTACAACTGGAGTTGGGCACTTTAGGGAGTGTAAAGAAGATCCTTCCTGGTACCCATTATATCCAGGTGTGTCTATTGGGCAGACCAGGCTACAATAGAAAGAGAGGTAAACTACTGGACATTTGAGACTCAGTGCTGCCAGAATTTGTGATGGATGGATTTCCATGATATAGAGGAAGCTTATAAAACATAGCCAAGTTTCAACACTTGTCATGAATTTTTGTATCTCTGGTTGTTTATTGAAACGTGGGTTTCCAATTTTTTTCTGCACAAACATTCACTCATTTAAATTAATAGAGTTTCAGCTCCACTTTTAGCAATAGGGGCCCAAGGCTTAAAAGCTGTGCTCACAGCAAGATGATGATATTATTTAAAAAACAAGTTTTTAAAAAATAAGCTACTGAGCATCTACTTTATTACATATTTTAAGAGTTTTCAGTGTGTTAAATTAAACATAAATGCAAGACTGACAAAATACCAAGGGTGGAAAAATGCACAAAAAGAAAAACAGCAATAAAAAATGTAAATTCACTGCTTTGGAGTATAGTATAACAGGACAAAGCTAGATATGATGATGTTGTCAGGTTTCTTCCCTACACTCAGTCTGAGGAAAAATATGTTGGAGTTAATAAGAATGGATTAATGGCAAATTCCTATGTCCTGGTGCAGGACAAGGTTATGACCCTGGTTAATGAGGCTGAAGCTGGTGAACACAAGTGTGAGCAGAGTGACACTGCGTTGCCAGTGCCATGATCTGAGAGCAGCCAAGCCAACCCTGCACTAGCATTCATGCTAAGTAAGTCTCCACAAGCTCCCAAAAAATAAAATGCCTAAAGGAGATGATAAATGTATCATCAGAATAGCTCAGTCAAAACAAGCAGTAGGCCACAGAAATATACTTCTGTGGACACTGTACTGTTGTAACATTCTCTAACACCAACAGAAGCTTTCAAACGGAGAGGTTTACTTCAAGTTGTTGGTTTACATAATTCCTGTCCTGACAATTTTATATAATAACATTTATACTGGCATTTGTTTTGCATTGTTTTATGGTACATTCCTTACACTTGGAGAGAAACTGAGAAAAAAAAAGTCCTTCTTGAGGGACAGAGGAAGAGCATAAAACACAGATGAGACAGACTGCAGCCAGTACTGAAAGGTAAGTAGGAAATGGGTGTTGCAGGTGTCCTGAACAGGGGTTAAGTGCTTCAGCAAGAGATGAGATGCATTCATTGAGCAGACTTTCAAAAGCACGGGGAACGCAAAGAAAATGGTTAAAATTTGGCTGGGGCTATTCCATCCAGTTAGAAGTGAAGAGTCTTGAACACAGACTGATTCTTTCTGCATCATGCAGTTCACTGAAGAAATTTGTTCTGTACTATTTTGCATGGAAAAGATGAAATAATGTATTGTTTGTTTGGAACTGTCTAAAAATTACTCCACATAGCCTTGATGATTGGCAAATGTGGGAAGTGTGAACTGTGAGTGCAACCTAAAATGATGCAGACTTTAAACAAGAAAAATATAAACTGTTTAGAAAACAGAAACTGTTGATGAAGAATGTATGTATGGAAAATGGCCTTCTGCTTGAACTAGCTTTAACAATTAACAGTTATTAAAAAAATCAAAATATCATAGGCTCTTTTCCAGCCTAAATGATAAATGTATTAGGGTGTATTCATAACTTAATTTAAAATGTTGCAGTTGATGAAGGTTATGCCATAAAAGAATGTATAATTTCTGACAAAATCAGGACAAAAGCATCTAAACAGTTTCAGAGGTTTGTAACATCCACTATGCTTACTCCTGTGAAACTTTTAAACACATATTTTAGGATATAGTCATTTTTAGATAAACATTTTTACTTCAATTTCTAATTCCACAAACCCCTGAATGCCGCATCCTGAACTGCTGTAAACCAGCAGCTCAGACACCTATGAGTTTGAGACTGTAGTCCCTGAATTTATGAAAGATGCAAAGTCTTAACCAACAAAATAGTATAATTGCCACAGTGAAAAATAACTGGTCAGTCTTAGAATGTCACACCACTGAACAAGCCCTTTTCTCCCTTCCATTTATGATCTGATGCCTTTGCCTATGCTAAAAAATTAATGAGAAACAAAATACTCTCCTAGAAAGATAGGCATATAAATATTTGAATGGGAAAATTAAAGGTTCATTTGAAGAAAACACATGTCTACATAAGAAACCCAGTATTTGACCCATATAAACCTAGGCATGACATTTTTACCGTGAAAAATGGGAAGTTGCTATAGGTAGATAGAAACTGCATGCCACTATCATGAGAAGAAAGCATCAGCATTATTTTTCTTATTTAACCAAAGCCAAAGACTGGACTGAAAAAAAAGGTCTAAGCTGGGGAGTCAGAAGTGAAGGTGGTTAGTATCCACAAGCACCAAAAATAGAAATATTTATGTCTATCCGACAAATTTATTTCCGCTGTGAATAGATAAAAACGGTGCTTTAATATGACTCACATATGAATCAAATAATTACATTAGGTTTTTTCATGAAGTGTCTTAATATTTAAGTTCGTCTCAAAAGTTCCCATGACGAGAGCTCTCTGAAGAACTAAGGTTACAATCCCATCGCTAACACAATCTTATAGGGAAACTGTGTTCACATCAGCTAATTATTCCTAAGCCTTGATTTCATAATGTGCAAAATAATATGTAAAATATGTACTGGCATTAACTACTACAGATGGTAGATTTTAGATTTGACGTATTTTAGGAAAAGATGGACTGCTACCATCAGGCAATCTTATGTTTTATGTAAGACAAGCCATAGCCCACCTTCTGTCTTAGGACAACCCACTACTGCTGCTGCAGCCAGATGTGGACAGATGACCACAGCTAGGAGTCACCTCATCTAACATTCCAATGTGTTGGTGATGATAAAAGACAGGCAGCTCATCCCTTTCTAAAATGGGGTGTGCAATAGGTGAGCAGAACAGCCCATGGGAAAGGCCAGTTTTGTCTGACCATGGGGAAATCCAGAGCTCAGATCGCACGGAGGTTCTGAATTTAGACAAGCGGACGCTCATTTCCTTGACGGATGAAGAAATTCTCGGAGAGATACAACCCTTTAGCTAAAGGAAGGGCGTTTTTCTTACCATGGCAATCACTTTTTTTCTGCCTTCTTTTCAGTTGCAGGGCTCGCTTGGCGGTGCGCACACTGCTTGAACCCTCCTCTCTCCAGATAGCCGTGCTTCGCACGGAGACACCCAGCGGTCTCCGTGCCACAACCAGAGGCCAGCCACGAGGCGCCGAAATCAGACTCTCGGGCGTTGGGGGACAGCGAGGCCGGACCGGACAGTGACGCCGCGGAGCCCCACTACGGCCGCCGCCACCGGGCGCAGCGCAGCGCGGCGCGGCCAATGAGCGGTGCCGGGGCGGGCTCGGGAGCGGCGCCGCCGGTACTTATGCTCTGCCGGAGGGGCTGAGCAGCCCACAGCAGAGCGGGGCGGCGCGGGCGGAGGAGCCGGGCGCGCTGTGGGGAGGACGGAACTCACCTCCTCTGCGGCGCCCATGGGGACAGAACGACTTTAAAGGAGTTTGGGGGGTTTTGACGACCCGCTGGGCGACCACGGGTACGGAGGGGGGAGAGAGGGACACCTTTCGGGGACAAAGGGTGCTTCATTTTTTATTTTTTTTTAATTTTTATTTTTTCCCCTCTCCTTGCGATGTCCTGGCAGAAATGCGAGGCTGAGCGGGTAGACACGGGTGGCAGCTGCGAGGCCGCCTGCTTCTTCAGCATCCTGTTCTCACGTACAGCGGCTTGGCTCGGCTGCGAGCGGGCTCCGGACCCTCCGGGCCAGCGCTCCCACTGCCCTTTCCCTTGCGGAGCGGAGAGCAGAGGCTCCCGAAGCAACTCCGTCCCCCGCGCGGAGGCGGCGGGCGGCGAGGAGCCGCCTTCTCCTGCGGCGTGGGGCTGGGCCGGGGAGCTGGGAGGCCCGGGGCACTGCCCTGCCCTGCACCCCGAAAGCGAGTGGGAAGGATCCGCGCTGGGAGTTTCCCTTCACTCGGAGGGGAGGGATGGAGCGGGGGAGAAATGGGTGCTCGGGGCGGAATCGCTGAAGTCTTTTGTATGTGTCTTGATTTTTTTTTCCTATTTTTTTTTTTTTTTCTCTCCCTTTCCTTCCCTCCGTTTGCACTCTCGTTTTCTCTGTCCCTGCCCACCCCACCCTTCCTCCAGATCCGGCGATTCCTGCCCTCGCCTCGCCCTGTCATTGATGGGAAATCAACTGGATCGCATCACCCACCTGAATTACAGTGAGCTGCCTACCGGGGACCCCTCGGGGATCGAGAAGGACGAGCTGCGCGTCGGGGTGGCTTACTTCTTTTCGGATGAGGAGGAGGACCTGGACGAGCGAGGCCAGTCAGAGAAGTACAGCGTGAAGGGCTCCGGCAGCCCTGGCCAGGAGACGCCCACCCACCACCTCCACCACCAGCTCGTGCTGAACGAGACCCAATTCTCCGCTTTCCGCGGCCAGGAATGCATCTTCTCCAAGGTCAGCAGCGGCCCCCAGGCTGGGGACCTGAGCGTCTACTCGGTGTCAGCGCTGCCTGCTCTCTGCAAGCCGGGGGACCTGCTGGAGCTACTCTACCTGGGGCCGTCGGAGCAGCCGCCGCCGCACTGGGCAGTGTACGTGGGCAGCGGGCAGATCATCCACCTGCACCAGGGGCAGATCCGCCAGGACAGCTTGTACGAGGCTGCCGCGGGCAACGTGGGCCGGGTGGTGAATAGCTGGTACCGCTTCCGCCCACTGGTGGCTGAGCTGGTGGTGCAAAACGCCTGCGGGCACCTGGGCTTAAAAAGCGACGAGATCTGCTGGACTAACTCCGAGAGCTTCGCCGCCTGGTGCCGCTTCGGGAAACGGGAGTTCAAAGCCGGGGGGGAGCTGCAGGCTGCTGCCGGCACCCAGCAGCAGTACTATCTCAAGATCCACTTGGCGGAGAACAAAGTGCACACGGTGAGGTTCCACAGTCTGGAGGATCTAATACGCGAGAAGCGCCGAATCGATGCCAGTGGCAAACTGAGAGTGATCAAAGACCTGGCTATAGTGGATGGGAAAGAATAGTGTGCAGTGGGGTACATGGCTATCTTCCTTCTGCCCTACTGGGGAGCCCAGCCTGCCACAGGGGCGGCCGGCTGCACCCTCTTTCCATGGGACGCGACTGAAAGCAGGATCCATGGCAACATTCCAAACGAACAGCGTTCTTTACACCCATAGCCAGTATTTTGTTTGGCTTTCAATAGTGTTAATGCTGAAAGAGCGCTTGAGAGAGAGGAGGAAAAGGGAGGGAGGTGCACGAAGGCTGTTCTCAGTGTGTGGACAAAGTCTCTCCTGTTAATCGATGTTGACCATTCTAGCAACACGCTAATAAAATTTCAAATTGAAATTTTTTTTTTAATTTTTATTTCATGGCTTTAATCCATGACAAATTTTAAACATTGGGGGCCATGGATGTGGATTTAGCTAAATGAGTTCTTAGCTAATGTTCGCCTTGCAGCCAACTGAAAGCATCCATCATACTTTGCTAGTTGGAAAGGGTTGCAGGTGGGGGAGTTGTAAATGCTTGTTTGCTTTGTTTCTCAACACTGTTGCTTCAGCCCATAGCTGCAACGCAAATTTTGTCCCAGCCAACTTTAGTGAGACATCAGCAGGGGAAAATGCTTTCACATTTCTGGTTGAAGCTGATCACGTTTAAAATAATGTCTTTGCTTTCTGTCTGCAGCTCTCTGCTAAATGTTATCATAATTTATAAGCTGCTTCTACCACCACTTTTTTAAATTTTATTTCATGAAAAGTTGGTGAGCAGGTGTTTCCTTGAAACTAAATTTGCTGGTTGAAGGTGTATTTTAGAGAACAGTGTACTCAGTGTTGGTCCTTGGAGATCCAGCCTCTAGAGTCTTATGCTTGGGCTGTGGGTTTGTATCGCTGTAGTGACTCTCATTGCAACACTGCATCACTACCTCTTCATGCACAAATCAACAGAATCCTGCAAGAAACAAATAGGTTTGAACTCTGCATGTTGACTTTTTAAACAGCAATTTATTACATAGTTACAATTCCACTTGAAGTATATGTAATGTGGCCAAGTTCATTCATATTCTAAGCAACTAAGAATCCCATTCAGTCTTAAGTTTAAGAATCCACAGCTGCATTTAAGATGCCTTTTAATGTGATGTGGGTAATGCCTTGTTTGTATTTCAGATCCAATTCACTCATTGCTTAACTCGCAGTTTTGAAGTGGAAGATCAAAATATTAAATATACGTAAAATCTAAAAAATTATACTGGGGCATTTCTAAATCTGTATTCTATTTTTATTACTCTGAGCTGCGTACAACTTGTAATAAGTGATTTGTCTTTGCATGTGTCAGTGCTGGAAAGAAAATGCATTTGTTTTTGTCCCCTCTTCGCACATCAATGTCAGATGACAGAATAGAAGCAACACCCCTGTTCTGTATGTACAATACACTCCACCCCCTATCAATGTACTGTATCCTGGCTCCTTTTTGTATTAAACAATGTAATTAGCAACCTTGATGCAACAGTAACTTCATTTCTACAAAGGGTTTGCCTCCCATACCTGAAGCTGTGAGGGTGGAGTGTAGTTCACTATACGTACCAGCATAAATATGTTTAAAAAAATAAATAAATACACTCTTTCAGTGAAGGTCATCAAACAGGCTTTGTTTACTGATGCACATAGCATAGTTATGCCCTAATTGGCAGTGTTACTTTTATTTTCCCTTTAACCTTAAAGTACTTTTGGTACAATGGGGTAAGCATTATTTTTTTTTTAAGTGAATTGCCATATCTTTTATTAAATATGTACTATTTTAACATTAGATGGGTAATAATGTCTGGTAATGATAGCTCTTTTCCATAAGATTAACAGTCTTCGACACTGTATTTATGTATTTATATTGCATTACATCTCCCAGGCTGTTCCAGTTGCTGAGTACCTCATAGCACTTGAGGGGAGTGCTGTGAGATTGCAGAAAGATACTGATGTTGCAGCCAAAGCACTTAAGGAAAAAATGGAACATAAATAGTGGGAGAAGGAAGAGTGGGCAAAAGTAATTTAATTCTTCCTTGTAAGATATGTTGAAGAGCTGGGGTAGGAAGAGATGGGAGAGGAAGTAAGTGGCAAGGTGTCTACAAAGACAGAAAGAATGGGGTCATGTAAATTTTGAATTCTGAAATGTTTTTTTTTCTTTAAATTGTTCACAAATGAATAAAGCAGGGTTAGACAGAGGATCAGTTTGCAAAAATAGCATTGCAGGTCCTCACCAGTGCAAATTTAGAGCATAGTGACTTTAAATGTTTCACTGTGCTTTGCAAATACTCCGTCTCTCTATCTAAACAGCCTTTTAAACTGTTTGTTGTGGGTTTTCTTTATTTATTTATTTTTAATGACTAACTAGCCTTCACGAACATGTTAGTTTTCCTTAGCTGGCTTTGCTAGATGTGTGTTTATTCAAGCTCTGTCAGAAGTCTTTGGCATTTCTCCAGATTTGTACAGATAAAAGTAACAAGAAAATTAGGGCCTCAGTCCTTTGCATGAGGTCTGGAAGAATGTATTGGAAATATTCATAAATGGCATTGATCTGAGATTACTGCTGAAACTGTTTACAAGTGGCAGTCTGCTGTTCGCAACAGAGATATCCACACGGATCGTTTTACTTTCACTGGATTTTAGTCCTGAGTATCTGAAGCAATCTGGTCCTAATTCATAGTCCACTGAAATTAATAGAAAGGTTCTCACTGACTTCGGTGAGCTTTGGGTCAGGCTGTGTTGATTAGGAGGTGGTTAGTATTTGTGGACCTTGAAGAGAGTGAGGTTTAAGTGGCATTGAGGAAAACAGAAGGGCCACCTTTCTGAGGTCAGAGACAGGCAATATTGTGGAAATAGGCAAGAAAACGGGCTAGACCTCAAACAAGCAGCGTCAATGTGAAGAAGCAGTAGGAAAAGAGTGAAAAGTGAATAGAAATGATTGTTCGGTGCCTTGAAACAAGAAAGGAAAGACTGGGGAGCAGTTGGACGCAAGTGAGGCAATTATGTGTATGACTGACAGGTAGAAAAGTAATTGATTATACTCATCTTTCAGGATCAGTGACCTGTCTGAGTTAACATTTCCATTTCCATCAGTAAGGATATTGACAAATTATATTATATCCATGGGATCTGTTTACATTCTTCAGTCTAGCGCTGTAGGGTAAATATTTATATCTAAGCAATTCTTTGCCATTGAAGTACTGTCTTGTAGTGTGACTGCAGGTTTAGGTTACTTGAAAATCCTGCTTTTGTGCCATGTTTCAAGTTTTCTGTTAACTATTTGGGGAGCTACTTTATTGAAACTGTTTTGCTTGGATACTATATTCCTTGTCATTTCCAAATGCAGTCTTTTGAATGGCTTTGAGGCTAACATGTTATTAAAAAAAATTGTTTCATGTTCTCTTGAAGCATAGAGAGCCTTTGTGAAATGTTTTACTGGCATGACTGAATTGTTTGCTGGTTATTGGCTGGGTATGTAGGTGCAGAAGTATGAGAATGAATGGCAAAATGGGTTTTATCTCCATCAGCTTTGTATTTCTGTGTTACTTTGCTTTCATTTTATAGGACTTCTTCCCCTCTAAAAATTATCTGTATGCAATTCGAAAAAGACAAAAATCTTCGTTTTATATATATATATATATATATTTAGGGCAATATTATGCTACATTGATTTCAGATTGAAATCAGGTTGTAACAAGATATGGCCTTCAGGGTGTGACAAGAAATGGCCTTCAGTCTGTGCAGAGTGTGCATAATGTTAATTATCCTGCCTGATTTAATTTTAGTATCTTTCATATTCAGGTAAGTGATGTGCAAAAATCTGTCAGAGTTTATAGACCTCTTTATGCGATGTGTTGAGCAGCTGTAACTCCAACCAAAGTTGGCTGAAGTTGAGAGAATTCTGGATCTCACGGGAGACATGGAACATCCTGTAGGATCAGGTACCTCAACCCCCGCTTCCCCCCCTCCCATCCCCCAAAGTTTCCAAATCTGTCTTTTCAACTACAGAAGAAATAGGGGACTGTGATATCTACTGTGACTTTTACTGTTATTTTCTATGAAAGTTTTCTACTAGAGTAATGTAGAAGTGTTCTGTCCATAATTTTACTTAGCTGTGATGGAAAAAAAATATGGTATGTGTTGATGCTTATATTTTGTAAATGGTATCTTTTCTGCTTTATATCCCAGGAGAAAGATGATGGTCTCAGCCAAAAGGATTAATCCAGAAATATGTAGGGAGGTATGATTGGGCTACTAAGCTGAGAGCAGTTTCACTGCAGAATTACGTTTAAAAGGATAATAATGTATGACTAGAGTGTGATCACATGCTGCTGTTTGTTCATGAATGTCAGTGTTTCCATGGCAAATCTGGAATTTATTTACTTAATTATTATGAAATATGAAACTTCTCTGCTCTCTGAGTTCAAATATGACAAGTAAAACAGCCCTACATTCATGGATCCTCTGAATGGTAGTTTGATCTGTCAATTCTTTATTTTTATTTTCCAGTTTCACTATAAAGAAAATTAATACTGGGATCAGATATTTTACTGAACTGCTTGTAAGTGAAAAGAAGATGTTAGGTTGGAAAAAAGGCAGTGAGAATTCTTCTGTTACTTGGAGTGCTATTGGGTTTATTCTCAGTTTATATACATATAAGCTATTAGTCCTACAGTGGTTTGTTTTTGTTTTTTTTTTAAGAAAGTAATTGTGACACTATGTATTCTCTCTTTTGCAATATGATATTAATTTACATATATAATATATATCCCTTGTGAAATTATTCTTTTTCCATATATTGAAATGTCACCATGCCTTGGAAAATAATCATTATTTGAACCATGTTTATTTTTGAAAAAGAAATTAGAATTTGTCTGATAGCATTTATACTTGAGCAGGTAGTAATATTCACTTTCACTTCTTAATTTTTAATATTTTGCAACATTAGCAAACCTACTCAGGTGGTTATATCCAGAGGAATCATCAGCATAGGCCATATGGATTGAGATAGTTGAGATTATGGTTTTATAAGATCACACTTCTTTTTTTTTTTTTTTTCTTTTTGAAAGAATATTTTTATTTGAGGAATTCCGGGAGTTTCTGGTTCTGCATATGATCCAAGCATAAAACCACTTGCTTCTGCAAATGTTTGTAATATCAGGTCCTTTACCATAAGGGTAAAGGAAGGGTCTATCCCTTTCCTCTGGCATTTACTTGAGGTTAAAGTTGAGGAGTAGGTCTAGCCAACATCCTGACCATCAAGTGCACACAATTCAATGGAAAAATTATGTACATGATGTTTACCAGAAGAGCCTTAATTGCATATTCTTGCTTGTACATATAGTAATTATCTATGCAATTCTGGCATTTTCCTAGGTAAAGTGGGTTAATGCTTTTCAAATATATATTTTTTTCCGCTTGTGTGACTGTGTGGGTACAAGTGTTGGACACTGACAGAAGATGGGGAATTAGCATATGGGCTTGTGTCTCTGAAGTGCCAATCCCCTGCTGTTTTAGTAGGGAGTCAGACAGAATTTGAAATTAATGTGAGTACAGCAAAAAAAAAAAAGGTGGGAGAGTTAGTTAAACTTCAGACTTTTCAAGAAAGAAGTTCAAGCTAAACTTGAAAGCTGTTCCTTCTTCTCCGCGGTTAGTGAGGGTGAGTAACTGTGTATCCCTCATGCACAAAACCATTCCCATTTTGGAGATTTGTTATACTGTCTAGACTAAATAGTGAGCAAAATAAGCAGTGTCATCAGCCTTAAGTAACAATTTTTCTAAGCCTAGATGCTATTTGGATACACAGTGACATTGGCAATCTACTTTGAAAGTTGCATGAAGTCATGAACTAAACTTAGAAATGAAGGACTTCAGTCATCTTTCTACTTCCTATGTAGGAGAGGTTAAAGCTTGTTACCAGTACCTACTTCACCAACACAATCCTGTGGTGGGCTTTACAATGAAGCAATCAAGCCCTAGAATTAGTTCTAACGTAACACTGAGAACCTATATCCAATGGCATGAGTAAATACAGAGTGCCACATCATGACCCTCCTTCACAGCAGAGTACTATACACCACAGAAGGAATATTCCTCATAAGTTATTCAGTGTGAGTAAACACATCACAATCTGGTCTCAAAACAGATAATCTCTTTCCATACGTTCCCATTGTTTCCATGTGCCCTTTCAGTCAGTTGAAAGCAATATTAAAGACTGAGTCTGAAAAATGTGATAATTGTTTGTAAATATTTAAACAGAAATTTATATGCATATTGATATACAACTAATATATATATAATATTGTAAATATGTATACATATGCATAATGCATACATAATATGTATATAATATGCATATGCACACACAATAAGTCTTGACTGTTTTGTTAGTATTGGTAATAAATGGCAGTCATTTCTGTATGTATATTAACTGTGCAACAAATGGATACCCAAGAATATACTGGCAGGATATAAACACTATTCAATATTTATTCTTCAGGGTATGCCATGGTCTTCTGACATCAAGATAAGTTGATTAAATATGTGGGTTTTGATGTATTGCTACTTACTGCAGGAAAAAAATCAAGGAGCACTATACTTTGCAATAACAAGCTATCCTTTTAGTATGAACTATGCTGCTACTAACTTGTGTGTTCATAAATAAATAAAAAATGCCCCAGTAACGTATCTATCCATCCTCTCTTTGGCATATGTTAATGATAGCACCACATTTTTTTTATTATTATTATTAGTATTTTTTACTAATTTAAACATTTGTTATTGCTATTGTTGTTTTTCCATTTGCTGTAATGTTTTGAAAGCAAACCACTGAATTAAGCTGTGTTCTGTTGTTTAGCCATGCTCACCTATTGTTGTACAGTTGTTTGAAAGTAAAGTGGCAGCTGGCTTTTCTTGATTTTTCTCAGATGTTTTATTTGAAAAGCTAAAAGGCGAGACTTTGAAAAACAGTTGTAACTGAGTTGGCTCCTTCCCCACTGAGCACACTGCTGACCTTTCACCAAATTATTTGGGCCTTAGCTAGGCTAACCTGTCTACTTTAGAAATCTTACATTATGGATACAGGGTGAAAATGAGATCTGTCAAGAACAGTGAGTGCTTTGAAAATAATAAGTAAATAAAAGCATTGCTGCTGAAAATAGGTCTAATAGAACATAGATAAGTGACATTTCCGGTAATTACAATATCTGATTAAGCATTGGCACCAGTTACTTTTAAGAAGCTTAGGTTGTGTTTCATGCTACAACTTCATTTAACAGAGATGGCTTGGATGAGTGTTGTATCTGTTAATATTTATCATCTAACTGTATGATAAAACTCTGTTTATTTGCATATGACACAACCCTACTTTATCTTTGCATTCAAACTTTTTGCATGATATGTGTGCCTATTTTACAAGGTTTCTGGATCAGTATTTCTAGTCTGTCTGGCTTTATAACATTGATTCTTCAGTTAGGTGTAATCAAAGGTCATTAATATTGAAAAGTTCACTTTAATTGACCCATCGACTTATTTTAATTATGGCAGTATAAAAGAGTGTCAAGTGCTAAACTCCTACAAAAATAATCAGTTAATATGTGGATTCAATATTTCCTGTGTCTTTTTAGCTCTAGCTAAGGACTGTAAAAGAGTTCCCTCCATCTTTATCTCTCTTTCAAGGTGAAGAAATACGACAAAATAGATGGGTAGAAAAAAAAGCTTCTTAAAAAAAAAAAAAAAAAAAAAAAAAAAAAAAAGCAGAAATCTTGAACTGTTCTTTTATATTTACAATTTGTGTACAGATTAACTTGGAAAAGTGCAGGTAAAATTCTCACTTACAGTAGGAGCACCAATTATAGAAATGATACCCTTTGAATTTTGGCATACTAAAAGCTTGCATATATGTGCTAAATAATTTTCTTTTCCATTTCATGGCATGCTAGTTACTTTTTTAATCCATAGGAACCCAAAGTTGAATTCTCTGTGTGCTGATAATGTACTCTAGCAGAAGCAGAAATGTTAAATGTTTGCATAATGTGAATGATATCAGAAAACCTCTCTTGAATTTCATTTTCCTAAAATCATTAATATCGTGCATACCTTTGAGTCTGCATGAGATTAATGACTTTCCTCAGAATAATTGTCCAAGATAATGCAAATGAAAATAAAGCTGAAACATGACGTGTTAGAATTGTTTGGTTTTTTTTACGTTAAGCTACGGATTGTCAAATATTTCTTACTTCTTTGAAATAGGAGTAAGATGTGTACTGATATTTAAGGAGCAGTTCTGTTTGCAAGATCCGTAGACCTCCTTTCTGTGCAGGAGTGCTTTAATGAATAAAACAATGCCAAGAAATAAGAAAATGTAGGATTTTGAGTTTGATAGAATTGACATATTTGCACAAAAGTTCTAGTCCAATTTCAAATCTTAATAGAACTTGCTTCTGACTGAATAACTCAAAAATATGAGATGCTTAGTTCTTATTAGTTTTGTTCATAATGGTTAGTGTTTTACAGATACAGTCATTTTGGTGCTTTATCTTCTCAATACTTCATTGATGACCTCTCAAACTGTTTTGTGTGTGTGTATGATTTTTCTGTCGTGCTTGTTTGTTTTTGAGTTAACAAGTATGTAAAATCCTAACATCTGAGAATGAAAACCCGGAGGACACCCCAGTCAAAAAACAAATGTTGAAAACAGCTTAAATTGAGCTTGGGAAATATTATTCACATATTTTAATGAGCTTTCATACCTGCAAATAAAATATTATAAAACACAATTAAATATTGTGTATTGTAAAGCGTTAAATAAAGTAGACTTTTTAAACATAGAAGTATTACATTTAAAAAGGTTGCTGCTAAGCAGTTTATCTTGAAATGAACCCGCTGTATTGTGAATGCAAGATGCAGAGGTCAAAAAAGTATTTCGTAAATCTGATTTATGAGCCAATCTACCTTGCTGAAGTTTCCATTATCATTCAAATAAATGTCTCTATGTACACTAATGCTTGTAGCATCTGTTATTATTTGTGTTCATCTGTGAGAATGGCTTTGTACGATTACAACTAACCAGAAAAATATAAGGATCCCTGTTATATTTGTACATTGAGTGTGATCATTAACTGTTTGCCAGGAATAAGGCAGTAGAGAAGTCAGTGTAACTTTGGACAGAATAAAAATAAAATAGAGTTGATAGGTAAAGGAATTATTCTTCTGCAAATGACATTTTGTCCAGTGTATGAATTGAGAGAATGCATAAATGAATGATACAAATCTGTAAGAGAATAGATCTATTCTATTATATAGAATATATATATAATATATTATATAGAATATATAATAGAATATTATATATTCTAGATAGAATATATATTCTAGATAGAATTACATATTCTAAATAGAATATATAGAATATATAGATCTATTCTATAGATCAATGGAGATCTATATATCTCCATTGCTTTCCTTGGCACTGTTCCAATGCTTGACCACCCTTTTTGTGTAGATAATTTTTCCTAATACACAAACAAAATCTATTGTGGTGCAATCTGAGATAATTTCCTCACATCCTATCTCTATATTGCCCTCAGTCTTTTTCTGCTTAATGATTACACAAATATAATTAACCTAATGCTGAAATAGCTAACAAAGATGAGATACCCTGAAATTACATGCTTTCTTTTCTCCCAAGAAGAGCACTATTACTTTGACAAACCTCATACTAATAAAGCTTGGTTTACTGAGTTGGAGAATGTTTTGGTCTCAAAACAATGATGATCTTCGATAATTTGTGGATAACTGATAAACCATATCAATCAACAAATGGGCAATTGAAGAAAATGATTTCAGAACTGTTAACAATTCATTAATTGGAAAAAAAAAATTAAAAAGAATTTGAAAATGTCTGCTGAATCATTTATTTAATTCTAATCAAACAGAGGAAAATTTGCTGCCCTCCAGTAAGATTACAGAACTCGGTCAATTATTTGAAGAATATCTAAGGGACTGATTGCCAGAGCATCTGGACAACTTACAATAAATTAAAAACAAATATTAATTATGCAACTATCCATTCAGATGGTTCAATGTGCTTTAGCACATTTTATTTTGCCTCACAAAGGACCGGCATACTGACATGTTAGTTAATTGAATGCTTGATTGAGCAAGTAAGCCTTACATTACACTTTGCAGCCTGCCAAATCTAAATTCTGGTGACCTGCCAGAGGAATAGTTTTCCATCATGAGAACCACTGCTGATATCACTGTTATCTTAAAAAATGCAAATCTGATGGCTCATTTTAGGAGATCTGCAACTGGTTTTAGCTTTTATAAGGAGAAATAGTGTGAGAGGTGTTCTGATGTGTAGCTGATGTCTATGCTACTCTAGGTTTTAAGTAGTATTAATAACATCTTCAGATTTGTCTGAACAAAAGTATAGTTTCAGCATATATTCACAGAGTTATGATTTATGCTAGCAATAGCAGATTCTGTTAAAAAGAACAATGGTACATTCTGTATTTTCTGAAAATTCTCAGGTGACTGTCAAGGTAAGCCTTACCTTAGTTTTAGACAACATATCAGAAGAAAGGCAGAAAAGACTTGAACAGCTTGCATAGATTGCATTTAAAAGGATGGCCTGGATTCTTTAGGAAATCAACTGCATAACAGTAATAGTAAAGGATTTAACATTCACTAATCTCTGTATTTCTATAGATGCCACGTTACTCTCTCAATGGGGAAAATAATTACTTGCTGTCTGCAAAATGTATTTAGTGATACTTCAAGACCATGCTGGATGGATCCCTGAGCAATTTGATCTAGTGAGAGGCAACCCTGCCCACAACAGGGGCATTGTGACTACACGGTCATTAAGGTTGCTTCCAACCCAAGCCATTCAATGAATGTGTTACTATGGTCATCAGTACTGCAGTAAGACAGCAGATTGCGTGTTTGTGGATAATGAAGTGCAAAAGCTGAACGTAGCCATTTGAGATTCAATTAACATATTTTAGGATGAACAGCTCAGCTTAGTTGATATTCGAAATTATGTAAAAATATTAAAAAAGTGATACCAGAAATTGTAACATAGCTTTAAGTAATGTCAAATATATCCTAAAGACTGAAGCCTTGATATTAAACTAATATAAACTGGAGAATACTGAAGCTCTGCAAGTGCTTAAGGCAACCAAAAATCCTATTTTTGATCCCTTTGATAGCACTGTACTTTCATAAGTGCCTAGTTGCCCCTATTTTGTTCATATGTTCAAAGATGTTTTCACTAACCAGATTCCTGTTTAGTCTTTTACAAGCAGAGGAGAAGTTAGGTGTTCCATAGCATAGTTCACTTTTTAAAATCATCTGCAAAGTTTTGATTAGCATAATTTCTTAAATTTCCACAGTTTCCTTTGCTTTGTTCTTGTGATACATCTCTTAGTCTATCAGTGTAAGCCTCAAATTTATGTGGGTTATCAGAACATGGTCTATGACTCATGAGAGTATAGTGACACAGAGATGTTCTGTGAAATCTGTTTATGTATAGCAGAAAAGCTTGCATTTATAGAGGATTGGACATGGCTATTTAAGTGATTCCATTCTTATGGTCCGAAATCAGTTCGCTCCAGCTGGGGATTTGGCACTGAAAAGTGCACTAAGAAGCCCATCTTTCAGGGTTTGAAACTGCCAGTTTCTATTAGTGGCAACATTGAGTTTATTTCTCCATTTGTGTCTAATATTTTCGAACTAATTGCCTTCCTGTCTTCTAACTTCAAAGTTAGTTTAGCTGTTGCTTTTCTTCAAAGGAAAGATAATCTTATATGTTTTGATGGTAATGCCATTTCATATTCTGTCAGTGCAAATCTTTTTGACAAGACTGGTGACCTGTGGGTGAGTGCTCGATTCAGGCAGCAGGTGGTGGACCATTTTCTCCCTTGTCGTGTACTTAGATCAGCATATTATGCTTACAGAAGTGTAGATAAAGGCCACAAACTTTCTAAGACTTAGTAATACTTTCAAAAATCACAGGAAATCTTAGCCATTTATCTTCATCTTCTTTCTAAAGCAGTAAAGCTATTATTTCATAGCTGTGCTGCTCTTGGTCTGACAGTTCCTTATAATGCTTGCAGTCTGGCCTTTTCCCAATATCAGGCAGATCAGAGAATGGCCAGGGTTGGAAGGGACCTCAAGGATCATGAATCTCCAACCCTTTTGCCACATGCAGGGCCACCAACCTCCACATTTAATAGTAGAGCAGGCTGCCCAGGGCCCCATCCAATCTGGCCTTGAACACCTCTAGGGATGGGGCATCAACAACCTCTCTCAGGCAGATTTGGACTCGGTGAAATGCAATGGTAAATGTTTTCTTTTTTTTTTTGCTACAACTTGGTATGTGCAATTTTAGCTCAGATCTGGTTACAGAAGTCGTTTTCATGTGGATAGTAATTCCTTTCTTCATTTTTCCATGAGCAATCCACTTCATCTCATGTGTCCAGTTACACACTGACAGAAGATAGCTCTAATGCAAAAAAAATTATCAGTGTCCAAAGAAGAGCTGCAATGATGGTAGAGGGTGTAGAGGGCAAGATATATATGCTGTGTCTGAGGTCCCTGGGTTTGTGCAGCCCAAGGAAGAGGCTGAGGGGAGGCCTCATTTTGGATGCAGTGTCAGCTAGGGGTTAAGGACAGGTTCTGCACCAGAAGGCAGTGGGCATGGAACTGGGCTGTAGGCATGACCACAAACTACTAGAGTTCATTAAGTGCTTATATAAGTCTTAGATATTTAGCTTAATTTTTAAGTAATAATTTTTTAAATTGGAAATTCATTTTTAATTTAAAAATTCAAGTAACTTTTAAGTCCTTTGTGGATCTAGGACTTGGACTTGTGTATCTCTGTGGGTCTCTTCCAACTCAGAGTTTTCAACGATTCTGTGAAAATTTGTGTGACTGCAGGAAAATCACAGAAAATTCAGAAGTATTATGGATGTATATATCATATATAGTATGTATCTTCACTATTTAAACAACATCTCTGGGGTAAAGCTCTGTATTCCTACACCTATTCCATGTGCAATTCAATATATATATACCTAAGCAGCCATTGAATAAAATATATTAACATCATGTGGAGCCAGAATCAGAACCCCAGACTGCCTGTGGAAGCTGGTAGAGCTAAAGCCAAAGTCCATCAAAGTCAAT